GTCTATCTCATCTTCAGTCAACCTAACTGAAATCCTAATCAACGTACAACAAACCAAAATCTAGCAAGAACTGCTTTGACAATAGATAGTCTGTTCAGAACTTTGTTAAGATGCGACTGAAACTATGACTGAATACAGTTATCTAGTAATCTATACTAAATAATATTGTAAAGAGGTATCTGTAAGTTTGTATGTAGGAGGTAATCTTTGGAACCGCTGGTCGGATTGCCAAAATTCTTTCACTGGTAGATAGCTACAATTTTCCTGAGTGCTATAGGCTATATACATAACTTCACGCTACAATCATAAGGAGCCGAGCAGCGGGTGAAACCGTGAGAGAGTAGCTAGTATTTGATATTCATGATGTATCTACAATAATTGATTTAATTAATAGAAGATTGTGTTAGTAATGGAAAGCTTTTTTTAATTTGAAATTCTATCAAAATTATGATTAGTTTATCTGCTAAGTTAGTAGTTTTTTTAAGTCAACTGCGCGACGGCGCGATGCCTCGCATACGCTATGAATAAATGATCCGCTGTGACTTCATACATGTCTATCAACATGTCCGTTATTGTCCAACAATAACAAATAAAACACCCCTTTCCAAGTACAAAATGGTAGTCGTCGAAAAATACTAATTATAGTACAACTAATTAGCAAGAGTTTTTAGCGCTACCCTCAACTTTGGTGAGCTTCGTTAGGCCTTTGTTAATTTTGTTAAATAATTAATTATGCCAAACCACTGAGACGTGCTCTACTGAATAATTGGTTAGTAAAGTATGAGACACAACAAGATTATTTTTCTTACGATTTCTTTTTAATTGAACGTGTTTACTTAAACCCCTGTTTATAAATACGTAAGTAAGTTTGTTTTCTCTTGTTAGTCATTCCATGACTTTGCCCTGGGCGGGACGAGAGGGGCTTCAAACTTTTAAAACTCACCCCGTTCTTCGAGAGATGATCTACTAGTGAAACCAATTTTGTCATTTGTCCTTTTAAAACACCTTAATTTGTATAAGTACAGACAATATGCAGCTCCCTACTATAACAATGAATGTGTAAGTTTCTGAGAATGTGTGGGTGGTGGTTTATTAACACATAGGAGGATGGAAGCTAGTAGTTGTATTAAGAAGAAAATAAATTCTTAGATTTTTCGAAAATAAGCTATATCAGGGAAGCGATAATTATGCGCGGCCAAATTAAATGAACTATCTACGTGAAATATACAGTTCGTTGGGTCGAGTAATTTATAATGGATCTGTGTTTTTCTCCGTTGTTAAATTTTTAGATTTTCAAAATGAGTACTAGAATAGGTCTTATACTAGAATAGTATTAATGTCAATTTTAAAAATTCATAGTGTGGGTACAGAAAGAGAATATTACATTGTGTTGTGTTTTGCCATGTGAATGAGGTCCGAGTAACCCTCAATCCATTCCCATCCCAAAATCTTTCAATCCGAAAATTCTTAATCCTCAAAAGTGCGGCTACGTAGTTGTGACTGGTGTTGGTGTTTTGCCTGTTCGGTAGTCGACCAACTCCATAAGAAATGTGTTATCCGAACTCTTGAATATGTAAGTAAGGCCGAGCTCAGAAAGTACCTACATCTTAAAAAGGAAGGTAATAGCCAAAAGTAAAAAAAAAATCACTCAACATAACTCCAACATTATTAATTCCAACTAGGCGAAATTAGGTGCTCGTTCCAAAGTACTTATAAATACGAATGGAGAAGAAGGAGCAAGGTACTCTAAGACACGTGATGACGATACCTCAAGGTCTAAAATAACAAGGTCTAAAATAACAATTTTCACTATTTTGAAACCAGTACATTCAGCCCTTATAATGCGTCACAGAAAATAATAAAACTTATACGATTTAACGAGGGGTGGTCGTGCATAAATAATTACAGAGCACGAGAAATAACATTGCCTAAAATATTTTTGTGTATAAAGTATTCAAGATTTTATTGGTAAAATAAAGTACTAAGGCATTTTATTGGTCTGCTAAGGCTGTGTTTTGAAACGCACAAATATAATTCGCTGTATTATTTACTGGTAGATTTATTTAAGTCTCAAGTAGTACACGCTATTTTAAAAATAGATTTTTTATTTTTCGGAAACCCGTGTTTCATGTTTTCCATTATTTATAAATACGTAATTATAATCGATACTCGGTATGTACGGACAAATTATTGAATGTTACTTAGTAATGAGATTTCATTCTAAAAAAAATTTGATTGATTTACATTATAAACATTGTGATATAAAACAATCCGTAGTAGCCAAAGGAACTTACAGACAGGGTCCAGTGCAACAGACAAATGGAATTTAAGCACTTGTATAGCGAGAGAATTGAAAATTCCTGCATTTATTGAGTTCCGTTGTGAATTGAAACAAGTGAGTAAGTAATTCATTTTAATCAATTTAGTTTGTCTTACGATAGTTAGAATTAGAATTGACATTTTAATTTAATTTTAAAATAGCTAATGTTTAGGTCTGAGTATTGCTGAGTATTGTGGACACGGACCAATATATTGCCAAATAGTCAATATAATGCGACAGTATGTTTTAAGCTTGTTATGAGATAGGGCGATAAACGAGCTGACAGATTACCTGATGGTAAGCAATCAGCGCTTATCATGGACACCCGTAATACCAGAGGAGTTATGAGTAAGCCAGCCTTTTGGGGACTATCGGAGATCAAGGGATTAAGAAGGGATTACGGAACGGAAAAAAATATTTGGGATTATTTATATAGTTCGCGCTTTGTATACATGTTTTAAATTTCCTATTTACATCAAAGCACAGATTATGGAAAGGGTATGGTACAAGACAGGACTGTCCCATCTTAAAATTGGTCGTGGTTGAAGTAGTCATAAGTTTATTAAAATAGTTAAAACTAAAATTAAATAAGTACCCATTGTTATTAGCATTATGAGCAACGTTCAATTTAGTCCGAAATAAATATCTTTAATTGAATTTCAAACAGAATTTGACGTATATCGGCGAATTCACTCGCCAATCATCGATTGTCCTTGGTAAAAATAGCCCGTAAGACCAAAAAAGCTTAGAGGCGTAATTTTGGACAACATTATTTTTAAATGGGACGGTGCGCGGTATCTTGTGTTTTTTTTAAAGTTAGCTTACCCTGTTTATTTAAATAAAGACCAAAAACAAAAGAACTGAGATTACAAAGCTTGATTCTATGATCATCTCCCGTTTTTCCCCTATTTTGACATAAGCAAGCGGGTCGGTGTTTGCCCAAATAGATCTATGCTTTAAAGAACCATTATCCATTAGACCACTACAGATGATGTCCATTAGGACCGATGCCCGGCAGGGGATGCAAGCGAATCGTAATGATGTGCCGTTGTACAGCTCGATGTGGAAGTTGGAAAGGGTTCTTTTTAGTCAGTGACGATTATAGTATGTTATACCACTCATTCAAAAGCCTACCTAACTTAGACACAAGAAGACACTACCTTTCACGTTTTTGTTACATCATGAAAAATAAATATTTATGTCTAAATATAAAAGAAAAGTCCCGTTCGTTACACTTTTTATAATCCCAAAAATTATTTAACCGATTTCGTTGAGAATTGGTGGGGATGTAGTTAAAACCTGAAGAAGAACATAGGATAGAGCAGAATAGGTAAGACAGGAAGGGTAGGGTAGGTTATGTTGGGTAAGTAGAGTAGGGGAGTGTAATGTATGTATGTAATGTAGTGTAATGTGTGTAAAACAAACGGCTTCATCTCACATATAAATTGACGTGTAAAAGTGCCGTTTTATGGCCTATTTGCAAAAATAAATTCATTTTTTCATTGTAAAGTAGGTAAAGTCAAATGGCGGAAGCGAAAAGTTGTGTAAAAATAAGAATTAAAAACTTTCGCAATAATACAATTAGTGACGCCAATCTAAAAATGAATCACTTGTTCATCATTCAACAGGAATGGACTCCAAGTAAAAATACTAGCTATTTACGAAGGTCCAAAGCTTTGCAACTTTCAATCAACACGGACACAATACTCCTCCGTATTTCCAAACAGATAAACTGAAACTGGTTTGCTCTTTTTGTCTTGGACTCGCTCGTAAATAAAAGTCCAGGTGATCGCTCGAGCATTCGGAATGTGCTAATGGATTTTAACACAAAGAGTTTCACGTCTCTACAGGTTCTGCAATGATTTCTGAAGTGAAAAGGCTATTGTAACAGTGAGTGGTGGCTAGTAAACTTTCTTTTGCAAAGAATCATTGTCAAGTTTGTGTATTAAGTGTGTTGTTGGAGAACTAAATAGGTAAAGATAGTCTAAATAAATCATATAAATAATTTACGATCGAATCTATCTTTGAATACTTTTCCAATAAAACAAAATTAAAGCGATATCGAAACAAAAATAGAGAGAATGTTCGAAAAAAAGTTTATTTATTTGTCTGCATTAATATGCATACGTTAATCTCCGGGGCTAATTAAAAGATTTCATAAACGAAATATTTTCCTAGCTCATAAACCTGGACCAAACACAAATCAAGTATACGGTATATTTTTTTTATGTTGTTGTCCTAATGTTTTATAATATAATATGTTTTAAAAATTGGAAGATAAAAAATCCAAGTCGTTATTTTTCTAGAAGTGTTAGAAATAAATGCACGAGATTATAATTGGATTTTAATGCACATATTTTTAATGGCCCTACTATATTATTAAATCAGTTAATTATATATTCAATTGACGAGAATGGCTTGCTGTCAGCTGCAAGTAAAGACAAGGTTTAGTGTTAATTCTTTGGTTTTGACGCATTCAAAAGGCAGCAATGTGGATGACGTACCAGTATCGATAAACCAGTCGCAAAGCCGTTTTAAGTATGATAGCTGGTAGCCTTGATTGCCTGTACATGAATAGACAGCCTGTAGCCTGTATTGATTCTGTAAGCATTGATAGTGACCTTGATTCATGGGTCGAAGACACTCAGTACATCTCCAAAAATATGAAAGAGACACTCACGTGGTTAGTATATCGTAGACGGTGTATCTCGCCAGGTAGGAGTGCGTGTGGATCTTGCGCACGTTCTGTGCCAGTAGCAGGAACCGACGGTCGGCCGACACTGAGAATGAAGCTGGTTCTAGCACCCTCTGTAACAAATTTTAAACTTTAGTTAGAAAAAAATAGAATTGTTATTGTAATAATCGACTGACATTCCTTTCCAAGGGTGAGTGTCACTCTTAGTATTTAAAACCCCATTTTTCCTTCTTCAGCTACATTATTACGCTTGACAAATCCCAAAACAACCCACAACGCACACCAATTACTTCATTATCACAATCATCAGCCTAATTCGCCAAATACTTACCATCAGATAATCTGCTTGCTCGGTCGCTTATCTGTATATATAAAAGGAGAAAGTGACTGACTGAGTAACTTTTAAACTTTCGCGTTTCATATTTACAACATAAATAAAATTACGCGGGTATTAACGCGGAAAATAATTATTGAAATGCCTTGGTAGGCTTGTGACCACGACCTGTGCTTGTAAACGTAGGCACTTGAAATTTGGCAGGGATGCACCTTAGGTACCTTAGAGGTGCACTAAAAAAGGATTTCTCGATATCCCGAACGGAATTAGCAGGAAAAACATTTGTATGACAAAATCTAAGCTAATCTAAGCTAATCTAAGATAGATGGTAAAAAGTTCACCCGAAAAATCATACTTGATATGCGTATTTTAGTCGAGTTTTTGCTTTTAACGGGTTTTTTTAAACAACAGTATTTAATATATTTATATATTACATTACTTTTATTCGCGTGTGAAGGCGCGGGCGGAAGCTAGTAATAGTTCTATATAAAACATATATAATTTCACACGTCATTTAAAATATCCTGTAACAATATGTCCAACATCAAACCCCTAACTCGCATATCATTCGACACGCGATCCCCATAATACAGTAGTATCGAATTATACCAGGAAACGAGAAACGATGCCTACGACTATAAACAGCATCGTAAAGCAGGTATCGATGTTATCAAATTGGATTGAATCGATTCTTCTGGTCGTATTCGGTAATAATGTTCGTGGTTATGATGTTACGGTATTTATTTGTCTTGAAGGATGTTTTGATTTATTGCTGGTATTGGTTTGAGTACCTCTTTTGTCTTTATGCGGTTCTGGTACAAGTTTTCGGGTAGGGTGCTTTTTGACAAGGTGTTATGCTGGTTTTTACATATTTTTTGTATTTACTTTTGGCTTTATGTATAGATGATGCCTAGATGTTATTGCTTAATCTTGAGTTTTTTTTATTTGATGTTCCGTTTTTGTTAAAGCGGTTAATGTTTTGTATTGCCAGCAATAGCAGTTTCGTAATATTTTTCCATTGAAAGTAAAAATATCAAACATTTCGAAAGATGAAAGTTCCATTTACTGAAAAAAAAAAAAAGATTATGAAAAAATGTTTTGCTTATTCTATTGTTAGCAACTAACTTATTGATTCAAACGTACAACAAACTTTCCAAACTTTTGAAATCATTTGAACTATAAAATCATTCTTAAACTGAGCTCCGTTATAAGCAATTTAAGCCATTTGGCGTTTCAACACTATTAACAGCCTGTGTCACAGTTCAGCTAGACAAGGGGGTCTCCTCTTAAGTTTGCAATCATGACGCTCAGCAGGCAGATATGGGGTCGCAAATTGAAAGATCCAGGTTTTCAAATACTCTAACGAGAGGAGTGGTCTGAGGTCATATTTATATATTATTTTATCTTATGTGTAAAAATGAATTGCTGTTTATTAGTCTCGCTAAAACTCGAGAACGACTAATACGTTTTGGATAATTTTGTCTTAAAATATTCGTTGTAGTCTAGGAAAGGTTTAAAAGGTTAAAACATATACTTAGTTATACATATATTTAAAGCGGTACGGAGTTCACCAGGTCAACTAGTACAAATATTACATATATTTTAATATATAACAATACCTATATTGTATTTTGCAGATTCTTTATCCTTTTTAACATTAATTACGGAAAGTCTATAAGGCACTTCCCACACTATGCTAAAAAAAGAAAACAACCTACGCCAATGTCGTAGTTAATATACCTGCCGGTGTAATATATTATTGTCAATGAATGGAATTGGAGCAGAAATCTTCATTACTAGGCCATCAGGAGTCAGGAGGAATTTAGCTTAATACGAATTTACTACGACAGAAAAAGAAAACATTGGCCTTGGTATTTTTTATACCAAGCACCATTAGTTAGGTTTTTTTATTATTTTTGATACTATGAACGTTAATTGCATTCTTATTTTCAGGGAATTTACACTATCGTTTGTGTTTGAATACGCTGGTCTGTAGAACTAAGAGTATGAAAAATAATATTTCATAATTAAATTGTGTTATAGAGTAAAGAAATGGTCAAGCGCGAGGCGGACTCTTCATGAAAGTTACGGTAGCAATAAGTAACATAATTTTAAGATTTTATATAGGTATGGCGTATTAAAAAAACTACTTCATGGATTTCCTTTCAAAATAATTTTCGGTGGTACACATTATTATTTTAATCCACGCCGGTTTTCTGTGAGGCCGTGGTATCACTCCGGTGGAGCCGATCCATTCGTGCCGAAGCTTGGTTCTCTTTTTTATCTTAAGCAACAAGGCTGAAGTCAAAGGGGGTGTATTAGACTATATAGAAAATTGTCGAGTTAAAAAAAAATTGGCTCTCTTTGTATTTGCTAAGATGAAACCCAAAAAATAAAGTTGAAATATAACTTTCAAAGTACCAGGATATCATACTTAAAGTGGAACTGATATCTTTATCTTGCGAGAATTACATTACATGAAACTGTGAGTATAATTATATACTCGTATATGAGAAAGTTTTCGCTGGCATTTTCTTAATAATATGAGGATTGGGAATAAAATTATGAAGAAAACTTTCTTAAGATAAACCAGCTACTCGTTAGATTTTTAGACTTAGAAGTAATTACTATGTTAATGCATGTAAAATAACGATACCAGGAATTTATGACAAAGTAGGAGATACGGATATGACGGCGTTGTAGTACCTATATAGGTACATATGACACTCATATTGTTTTCATTCTTACTCTTTATGAAATTCTCAACCTACCTGTCAAGCGTGGAGATTAGGTTTAGGTTTAAATTGAAAATGTTCGAATAACAACAGAAAAGTAATTTTCTTGCGCATCTCATTACATTCTTTTTTCGGCTACAGGTTGACAGCGAGGGATGGCGGCAAAATTAAAAATGTTAACAAAGTTTTGAGCCTAAACAAACGGAACATATTCAATTAGTTAGAAAACAAGGCTAACTTTTATTACGGAGATATTAAAATGAAGTGACTTCAAAGCATAAACGTGGAAAGATAATATAAACACGATTATAGAAGTCTTCTTTATCGAAAAGTGTGGGAGAGTCATGATTCGGCACGAATGGGTCGGCTCGACCGGAGCGATAACACGGCCTCACAGAAAACTGGCGTGAAACAATCACAGCGTTGTGTTTCGCCGTGTGAGTGAGGTTATCGGAGGCCCAATCCCTAATCCAACCGCCAACCGCCGATTTGCCGTCCTATTACATAAAAAAACCTATTTTTTCTAAGGACAAAAATAAGACATTCCAATTGTTTGTGCCACCATGGATCAGGTTATAGTTAGTGTCAGCTCTTACACAACCATTATTGCGTTGCCACCATTGCGAATGTGGTGGTCTGATTGCTCTTTGAGGCAGGGAACTAAACTTGCTTGTCATCCGCAGACCCGCTTTTAGGATTATAGCACGATTGTTACATAATTAGCTTACAATTTTGCTTATTAAGTAAGTAGAATGGCCTTTAGATTTAATAGCCATGTTTCATTGAAACGTTAAAATATCACAAAAGTTTATCCAATAATATGAAAGTAGCAAATACCTTTTCCTTTATACTTATCTAAGTAAATAATACGAGTAATCTCTTAAAGAACAAACTTCTAATAAGTGCGTACTTTCAGTAACTCAGTTTAATTGTTTAACTGTAAAACGACGTATTCCTTGGAATTAACTCTTATTAGCTTTTAATCTATTCTAATATAATAAAGCTGAGGAGGTTTCATTTCTTTGTTTGAATTAGATAAGTTCAGTGAGTGTGAGTGTAATTTTATCTAACTATACTAATATTAAAAAGAGGTAAAATTCTGTTATATATATATTTTTTTAAGTTTGTATGTAGGGTTCATCTTTGGAATCGCTCGTTAGATTCCCAAAATTCATTCATTGGTAGATAGCTACAATATTTCTGAGTGCTATAGGCTAAAAAACATCACGCTACGATCAAATGGAGCCAAACAGCTGTTGTAATCGCGTGAGAGTAGCTAGTATAATATTGGTTTCTACATTGTTAAGGACATATTATTGTTAACGAACGTTTATTTATTGATAATATTAAAATAACATACTTCTGCAACCGTTGATACGCGGTTTAATTGCTTTTTTACGTTAATTTGATTATTTAGTTGATTCCTGCTCATTCCGGACAAGGACCGCAATTTCCGCACATGGCTTATATATACGCTTTACATACAAGAAACTTAGATTATAAATGCGAAAGTAACTCTGTTTGTCTGTCTGTCCGTCATTTCTTCACGCCTAAACTTCTGAACCAATTTCTGTAAAATTTTGTACAGACATAGTTTGGAACTCGAGAAAGGACATAGGATAGTTTTTATACCAAAAATCGGCAGAAAGTCACTATTCGACGCGAACGGAGTCTGTATTAAAAAAAAAAGTTCCAGCCTGTTTCTATACACCACACAAAAATCTAAGCCCTGAAATAGTAAACCTCAATAATATAATTTATTGCTCTACCCGAAAAGCGAACTCGATGCCTCCTAGTCAGTAATCACATCATCGACCACTGGGACAGCGGATCTTAAAATTTATTATCTGCCATTTAAAGTAACAAGACCTAAGTATCGATCCGATGTAATATCCTCATTTTCTAAAAGATTTCAATTTATAAAGAAAGTAATGAACTGACAGGGGACCGAGTGGGCTCTAATAAAATTTGACCAAAAACTTAAAAGCCTTTTTAAACCCTTTGGAAGAATGTCCAAAGTATCCAGTTGGGTTAGTATGGAGCGACATCATTATTAAACACTATTTTTTACATTTTGTAAGTGACCTCGCGCGCGTCAAAAGAAAAAGGTTTATAGCACATTGACAGTCTATCTACGCATAATAATTATGTTACAAAAGAAAAATGCAATATTTATGTGGAAGATACATGCTTCGTCTTTAAATGGTCTGACTCAACAGGATGGATACCAAGGTCTCATAGAAAACCGATGTTAAGCAATGTTTATGCCTCATGAATGAGGTTACCGTAGGGCTCATCCTTCTCCTCTCCCTCCCTGCCGATCTTGCCGATCTCCGAAACCCTACTCCAAAAATCGTTCCCGGTGTCATCATTTAGTTATCAGGTAATACCAATGATCGAGACATAATCTCCGGCCACCGTAAGCGCGGGTCGACGGACGGCGAGTAAGGGTAGCTCGCGACTCGACTAGAACTAGACAGCGCGTAGCGTTCCGCGCGTGCCTCAAAGAGCCAATAGACTACCACAGACGGAGCCCTATATAGCTAATGTTTAGCCAGGGTTGCGGGTTAAGCGCAGTGAGCTACCGCGGCCTCGGCCCAGAGCAGGAGAAGAAACGGGGGGTTTTTAGTCAGTAAGAGTCTGATACTCTCTCTCGCCTTACCCTGGGTGGAAGAAGCCATTTGATGATTATCCCCTGACAAAAAAGAGGTAATACGAATGATCACTTGCTGGTCTACCACAAAAAAGTAAGCGTGGGAGATCCATGCATTGGTAGGCTTGCCCGTATTGATACCACGGGTTCTCAGAAGTCTGTCGTGACACAATGTCGACGTTGTGTTTTCCAATTAGAGTGAGGTTACTGGTGGTTTAATCTTGAAATCAAACACGCACTTATAAATTCTTTGGTATTGCGAGTATCCATACATTTGGAATAAACAAAAGTTGCGAAAACAATGTTCAAACATTTACAACATCGAAAAGAACACTAAAAATGCCAACAAAAATCGTCTTTTATCTCTTCATTGTTAATTCGTTTAATATTATAAAACTCTGCTCGGCCATACTTTGCGAGTCCATTATAAATTATAATAATCTTTTTCTCCTTCGCCAACTTTTGTTCGTCGATTTCATTCGTTACGAAACCGATTCTATGTTTAGACCACTGTCGTGTCTGTCCAAACGATTTCCTTCAATTCTTATATAAAAACTTTCCATTTCGTCTTTTCTTAGACTTTCACGTGTTTTGGATTATGCTGACTGGAGAAATCGATTTCAAAATAACTTTTGGACCTGGAACAGTAAGGAACGACCATATTTTCTATGTATTTCCGTGTATCATGTTCTCCCCATTTCATCAGTTTTATATAATAGGGACCAATTTGACTATTTTCATCAGTCAAATTACAATACAGCTTTATTAATTATTTTTTCCATATATTCCCATATAATTTATATTAGCATTTTTGATAATTTAAAAGAAATAAATACATAATTATGTCTATTGACGTACAAAAAACAAGAGACCATAAGATGTTATTTTGTACAAAAATAAAATTGATTGTTTTTGACTTTTCAAAAAATGTATTTTATTTTGGTTAGTTGTAAACTTTCCTATATTCGTTTCTGACTGAACACGGCCCGCTACTTTAATAATTAGCTAGGAGATTTTTTGCTACACTGTCTCACTAGTCACCACTTAACCTTCTTACCTGAAATTATACAGTGACTATATTTTGTATACAAATGAAATTATTAATAAGTTTTCTATGTTCTTTTATGCAATCAAAGACACCCAGAAGACGCAGCTTGCGATGTTAAAACAAACAAGATCGGACCAATGAAATATTAGACTAGGCATAATTAGCTATCCAAGGATGTCAATACAACACAATTTTCAAAGAAAAATAAAATATAGTCAAGAAGTAAACGAACAAACGGAATATCTAATTTAAGAAGAAATTTTCGTTCAACTGTAACTATAAGAAGCAAGGTCACTCAATATACTAAGTGTCACGGACAGATCTCCGAAATAAATTGATGTCCAGCCAACAAGTGGCTCTAGGGGCACTCTAGGGGGGAGGGGTGTATGGGAGGGGTTCTGGAGGTTCCAAACCATTGCCTCCTTGTGTGTTCGATGGAAAACTTATTTTTGCAACGAACGCGCGATTGAGTTAACATATTGCGGTATCGGAGCGCTTGTTTATTTTTGGATCAAATTTTTTCTTTGGGATTATTGTCGGATGTTCGTGCTTGTGATCGTAAGTGAGGATTTTGACTGAAACTTCTTAAGGATAGACGTGTTTTTGATGTTAAAGAGTATCTTGTCTTAAATGCTATCGTGAAATCAGCATTGTGAGGCTCGTTATGAGGAGTTTTGTTTCTCATATGAAATGTGCATTTGTAATCATGAGATATACTTTTTTTGTAATATATATACTCTTTTTGGTAAATCTCCCCTAGAGATCTACCGTTCTTATATAATTAATATTTTTGTATCTAAAAAATACTGAACGTGATACTTAAAACGGAATTAGTGAGCGTTTAAAAAAATAGTCGTAGTAAATCAGCCTAAACCTCTCAAAATACATAAACCAGCCACCACTAAAAGCAATGGCCAAAAGCAAACAAGACAAAACGTTAATTGAAAACAATTACATTTGAGGTAGCCCTAATGTTATACATAACTAAAGCAAACACCAGCCAAAGGGCCAAAAGCCAGGAACTAGGGTTGTCTCGACGTGGAACGTAAACAAATGGACACGGGCGGTCGCAACACAATTACAGAACTTTCCTCTCTCAAATGTCAGTGGAACATCTCGACGAATGTAATGATTATCAGCACAACTCTAACTTTACATGTAAATGGAACTTTCTGGAAATATGTATAGCGGGTGTTACTTCTAGGGGACTTATTCTACAGGTTGTTGTTTTTAAAGGGATTTCGCGAAATTGTCTCTCGTGGTGAAATTTCAGTTCAAACTTTAGTTTTGATGGTGTGACTCGAATCTCGGTAGTAGCTGTACATAGTTTAGATTAGTTGAAAATTTGTAAGTTTCGACGAGATTTGTACGTGGGCTGTGGTTTGCGTCGTATTACTTACGGGAAATTTAAAACATGACTTGCTAGTTGGTTGAAGTTTAGGAAATCGAGGGGCTTTGTTAATTAAACGTGCTAGCTGTAAGGAGGTTATAAGTCCATTTTTATCTAGATATTATGTTACATGCAAAAATACAGGCTTAATGAATTCCGTATTTATTATAACGGATTTTCATTTAATGTGTTGTGTTGTTAAGCTATTTTTAACTAATTTCTCACCTTCTGTTTTGCCAGAGTGGTCAACAGAAGAAATAATGCCTATATCCAGCATTCAAACTATAATCTATACATAAAGGAAAGACAAAAAACATACTTGCATTTGTAGTTTTAGTAGGTATAAAGTAATATAAAGAAGGTACTTACAAAAGTTGTGTTTGGCATCAGTGTTTTGGTGGTCTGGTTGGCTGCGAACATGAGGCTGATGCCACCGTAGGTATCGCGGAATATGAACTCATCACCTGAAACAAAAAGAAACCTTATTGAGCACACTGTAAGGTTACTTTTTTGACTATATACTTCTTCTTGTATAATGTACGGATAATATATTGTCTGATATATAAATTGAAGACGAGACGTGAGCCTGAATAAATGTTGACTGAAGTCAATAAGGAAAATCTAACATCTGAATAGCACATAATCTTAGCTGTTCGTCAAGCAAAGCCTGATAGGACCTTATAGGACTGATGTTCAACCGGAGTGCTTGGCAATCGTACCGCAGCCGGCTTGGATCAGGAGATAGGACAGGAAAGGGATTATTCTCAGACAGTAAGAGTCTGGAGTGTCAGACATTCTCACTCGCGTCACCCAAGAGGGCAATAGAAGTCATTTGATTTTCATTTGATTTTGCCGTGTTGTGGGTGCGTCTACAAAGGTACAGCTTCACAAAAACGTCATACTCAGACTCGGAACAAGAGTTTGTTGATCACATAACATGATACGCTACACGGCTGTCAGCCAGGTAAGAAATAAAGTATTTAAATCAATCATCTTATAAGGATTACCGATCAATTTGCTCAACACTGAAGTTTGTTAGCGAAACAAACATTCGATGTATTCTAAACATGAAGCAACCTAATAGCTTTGATTGTATTATCTGTTCTCCTGGTATGTGATTTTTAAAATACTAGGAGTTCAGAAGTTGGTGTTTCAATTATCGAGGTTGATTATGGTATCAAATAGCATAGAAGGGTATTCTCACGTTATTTTTTCTATTTTGATCACTAAACATAGCTAATGCGTCTAGCGCCATAACGTGGTACATTAACCAACTATGTGACCGCATTAGGGTAAACTCCTTAAAGATATAAGCGCCTGGTAGATTGATCGGTGAGTGGATGAGTGCTACAATGTCCATGTCCAGTTTTGGTCTCGTATAAAATTGGAGTTCTATAACTAAAAAGTTTTGATTAGTTATTTAAACTCCTATGTTGGCTTGACTTGTGAGAACAAAAGTTTTTTTACAAATATATGCATATTTTAATATTAATAAATTTTATTATAACTAAAAGGACGTTAAGTGTAGGAGAGCCATGCATCGGCACGAATAATCCGACTTGACTGGAGTGACACATTGCATTGTGTTTCACCGTGTAAGTAAGGTTTCAAGAGGCCCAATCATTCCCCTATCTCTGCCCAATGCCTAAATCCCCAAAAAGCGAAAGGCCAGTATTGCGCTTGCAACTCTCGGGTGTCTTTGGACCGATTGCTTACCATCAGGTAATCCATTTAGCATAAAAACCTTTTAACTTTATTAATAAACCAATTTAAAACAACCCGCATAAACTAGCCACCATTAGAAACTACCGATCCATCTACCAGGCGCTTATATCTTTAAGGAGTTTACCCTAATGTGGTCACATAGTTGGTTAATGTACCACGTAATGGCGCTAGACGCATTAGCTATATCGTTCGTAATGGCTGTCTGAACTAATTGCAAATACTTATGTAAGCATGCAATTACCATCAATCTTCCTTTAAATGCATGTTATTATTGTTTGTGTAGTTTAATTAAATTAAAATGTACGACATATTTCTGTCATTGATATTATTCTCTATACTTTTTTTTTATATCCTTGTATAATTATTTTTTTTTCCTGTATCGTTGATGGATGATTGTTACTTGAGTACATATATCATTGTTATTATCTTTTATAAGCACCTACATAGTTCAGAGATTGCGCGCTACAAGACGTTACGCATTGCTACGTAAATTCGTAGCGCTACGAAATGCTACGCCGGGCACTTGGCATTGCTACGGAATGCTGGTCTTGATGGGAATCTCAATGTTAGCAACAACGCGGCAACGTGCGGGATTATCTATTGTATTCTAGTGTTAAATACAATTGTTATATACTCCTTGTAAATTAGTACGACCATATCACATTAGCGTAGTTCATTCAATTCATTCAATTATATAGTTTTTATCAATATTACTGTGACGCAGAAGTGATCTTTATGAATAAAGATTTAGGGTAGACAATATATAATTCTATCCAATTATAAAGGTACAAATTTAAGATATGTGCCGTGTAATATATGAGTTGGGGTGGCCTGGAGGTTAAAGCGTCTGCTTCTCATCACTGTACGGGCGGGCCAAATCGAAAACTGACAAGTATGTGACGTTGTCTAAGTTACTTGTACTATCTGAGATTATTTAGACACTACTGACATACGGTTAAGGTAAAGATCACGAGGAAACCTGGACTTACATATAAATAATCAATAGCAAGCGTGGAGATTATTGCTCATACCTTCTTTGAGAAGTGGGCTTTGTTTAGCACGGACATTCATAGGCTAATGATGATGATAGTAAAGTGAGGTACAATGCAAATAAAAAATAACTACAATCAAAAAAGAACGTGTTATATATGTTTGAATTCAACAAATTTAAAAATCATTATTTTCGCATGACAACACACACAACTTTTTTCATAACAGTATTTTTCCAATAAGCATTACTTATCTACTATCTACTTCCAGTACTTTCGGTAACAACTCTTTGCTTGTAAAAAAAAAATAAGTAACATTAAAACTATGCGACAATGCAATTAGCGGGTGGTTTGCCCAGTTTCCTAGCGGACGGGTTATCTCACCGCGTCACAGACACTCCGCCGATGACCGGATTGTATAATTACGGTCCATTGTGGATGGGACGCTCATTACACTGAACTATAATTTAACCCCTTACCATGGAACCTAGAATGTCAGGGATAATCAAAATAAATATTTTTTGGAAAAGTTTATGTATATGTTTCTGTCAAAGGTTTTTGTTCTTTGCAAATTAGTGTTACAAAAACATTTAATAATTTGTTTGTTTTTATGTTCATTAAAAAAACATTAATTTTTTTTTAGTAAAATGAAGATAATATAAACGCTTATTGATTTGCTTGTAAATTGAGTTGTTATTATCAAAACTTATTTGAGAGGGAATGTCGGACTCCTTACTGACTAACAACTACCCCGTGACGAACTACAACACCGACAAAATTTAAGTTATTCTAAGATTTTCATAAAAAACAACATTGACGAAATACAAACCAAGTAATAAAATTAAGCCAAAAAAGCGATCGAAATCATCAATTTCCTGTAAACGTATCTTCCAATCATAAATTGTCATATTTATCAATTAAAATTAAATGAAAGACGTCAACAAACAAAAGTTTTACAACATGTCATCGCCACGCCACAAACACAACGCAGTGCGTAATCAAACAATCGTGCCAAGTCCTCGTATTACACCGTAATGTAATTCTCCTAATTCGGCAGTCTTCGAAGTAATTGGGTAGAAAGGAAAAAGTAATGGGAAACCTGATTTCATGATTATTGTTCGTAACGAGATCAGGAGATGAGGAAACTCCATGATTTCTTCGCCTTTACTGCTTATTTCTCCTTTCAGATATTGCTAACCTTTTAATACCACAAGTTAAGGAGCTCGTAGGAATGCTTTTTCATTATTACATATAATCATGTCGTAATATGAAAATAATTTTGCATTTTTTTTCTTTATTAATAACATAATTAGGTATTTATGTTATAACTCTCGTGTGCTAACTCTTTGTGTGATCTACAAATTGTTGTTCCGGGTCTGGGTGTGATGTGTATGTGTAATTGTTTGTTTGTAAACGCACCAATGACACAGAATTAAATCCTAGTGTGGAGCAAAAAATCACGATCTCTAAATTAGGTGTAAATTTTGTTGCGTCGCTTCGTAAGTTCGCCTCTAGTGTGGAATTGAAACTTATCCAGTTACCTAGGCATAGAGTGATGTGACTAACCAGATAAACATAATAATATAATTCTAAAATATATTGTTTACAAAGATTTATGAAGAAATACAGAGTGTCATTATTATGAGAAAATACCGACTTAATCGCGTGAATGAACTGAGAAAAACTCAACTAGTTTCAAGCTACGACGGGACTCTTATTCGTCGCGCAGCCCACTGGATGACGTCTTTGTCATTTGTTAACTCCTATTTCACGATACGATTTGCAAAAACATATTGTTATTGATATTCTTTTTAATAAAAATCTGGAGGATGAGAACAAAGACTTTAATACTTGTGTCCAAATACGAAAATAAAATCAAAATGTACATCGTTTATTTGTACTAGGTCGGTAGTAGGCAAATAAAATGAAAAGACCTACATCATTTATTATTTATCAGAAAATACACAACATGGAAACAACGCAAACAAGCGTACAACAAAGCGACAGCTAATGGCAACGATAAAATATGATTACATACTTAGTCCACCACAAACGATATTTGTTTACTGCATGGGGCACGCAAGGGAAACGATTTAAATCGATTACGGTGTGACGAGCGGACCATTGCCAATTTCAAGTTATTATCGCACCAATCAACGTAATTATTTCACATTTTACAATGAAATTATTTGATTAAATCGATTTGATTCGAATCGATAATATTTTGGACTCGATTTTGTTATGCTGTGCACGTCACTGGCTGGTACGTGCCGTTTGAATTCGGAAGGTGAATTCGGAATTTCGAATATGAAACGTTAGAATATTGCGGTTTTGTTGAGCTGTCAAAACGGTTCAGTAATTTCAATAGTAGCAGGAAAATAAAGTTATTTATTTACTGACTTCTTTGCGTAATATTTGTTTTTATACGCTTACGTTCATATTCAAAGTATGTATGTAGCTTTGTAGGTTACCTCAATTGTTATATAAAAATACATATGTTAACGAATTCACCGCCTTTGTGCCTTAAATATAACAATGTATTTTTTCCGCATATTTAACTTTTTATGTCAATTTTGCTATGTAACTTTTAGATTACACGAACCATATTATGTCTGAAAGGACCTTTTGTTCCGATCCGTTGTAATTTGATACAAAGATGATCTAGAACAGCTGTTTACTCAGTGAGAAGTCGATAGCGTGGCTGGCGTGCCACGGATAACCGGCCAGTAAACCACTACAGGTGGGGGCTT